CGCTGTTTGCGTTCAGAAATGTATTCTCGTAGCTTCGTAATATTACGATTTTTGTAATTTGTGTTCCGAAGATGAACGGAGGTCTTACGGGTTTAGAACGACATGAGGGTGAGTAATTAATGAAATAAAAGAATTTTCTTTTTTGGGTGAACTAACCCTTTCAGAATAGCCTGTGTGAGGTGGTTTTAAATATGCTGTGCACGCCATATAAGGACGTTTATTTAGGTACATTCAACACAAAATGGTTAGAAACAGTAAATCGAATCACAGCAAGATCATTATTTCTCATAAATGACTGTCATGCTCCCAGTTCCATTAGTTCTGTGTACAAAAACAGTAGGGATGCTCCGATCGATCGGCCGGAGATCGGTATCGGCCGATAATCACATTTTATGACCCGATCGGTACTCACTAACTTGGCCGATCTCACAAACCGATCGCAATTTGATGACGTCAACGCGTGACGACTAACATGATGCGTGGGTACATAAATGATTTGGCGCCGCAGTCATGTCATCGCCAGTGTGGAAATGCTATGACGCTTCGAGAAACAATGAAAAATTCGCTATTTGTCGTGTATGTTTTGCATGATATGCATGATTTGCATGATATATCCATGATGAATGGATGGTTCATTTTTAACAGCAGATTCAGTGACGTTAGAGCTGATCTGCGCCTCACTGCACACGTCTGCGGTGTGTTACGGCTCCACGGGCACCGGAGCTGATTGCGGCCGCTCTAGTCAATGCTTGTGCTTATACCAGCCACGTTACTGAAGCGGCTCTCCGCGCTGCTTGACTAAAAATAGCCTTTTGTGAGTTGTCACAGCGTGGAGGACGGAACAAAACCTCGTCGGAGCCGCAAGGGATAACAGTAACATAATAGCTACGCTGATCGTGGACTGCTTTTAAATGAACATTTATTTATAAAACAAAATATCTTCTTTGGCCATATTACCCTACTCAATCTGTTTTTATTACCGAGATAAATAACTGAAAATGAGTCTACTCAACACACTGCAAGTATCAGAGTAACTGTCACAATATTACACAACAAAAGGAATAGCATGCATCATCAAGATAATACAACGCTGAAAAAGAGGCCATTACAGACATCATCAACATTTAGAATTTGCAATCAAGTGCAATGAAAAAGAGAACTGATGAACAGGAGTTCAAACAAAAAGTGATTTATAATGGATGATCTAGAGAAGTAATTGCTGTTGCTTGCTCATGCCTTTGCAATAACTAGATTCGCTGGTAGCCTACAGCAATGCAACCCATTAAAATATTATTGAATATATCATTTTTAATCATTATAATTTATCTTACAGTAGGTTGAAAATGTGTGCCTGAAAGCCTAAACCGGTTGCATTTATGAATAATTGACGACCATTGTATATCACTATACAATATAATAAAAAGCAGGATGCAGTTCAAATGCATATGCATATTAAAATTTAACTTGGGCTATAAAGTGTAAAATATGCAGGGGTGTGAAGTAACGAACTACAAATACTCACGTTACAGTAATTAAGTAGCACTCACATATGAGACGTGCGATCTGCGCTGCCTCGTCTCTCTCTCGTTCTGCAGCGGTCACTTGGATAAGTCGTTGTTGCTGATTGTTGAACTTGTTGACTTTTGATGAGTTTGAGCGTGTGATGCGCGCTGTGAAAAAGTGTGTTGGAAACACAAATTGATGAGTACTTTTAAATAGGCTACTCTTTTACTCTTACTCAAGTCGTTTTTTTTGGACAAGTACTTTTACTCTACGCACACTACATTTTTTGGAAGGTAATGGTACTTTTACTTGAGTATATTTTTTCAGTACTCTTTCCACTACTGAAAATATGTAATAACTGCTCCCAAAATTAAGGTGTAAAATTACACCAAAATGAATCACACCCCTTTGTTACTTCACAACAAAGGTAAACAACAGAGGAATAAAGTAAATTTTAGGCACACAAAATTTGCCCCCAAAATATTTAGTCATCACATCATTGAAAAAAAAACTAGGCATTCAATTCACAGCTTAAGCAATAAGAGTATGTATATTAGAAAGGCTTGCAACCAGATAGAAAAACAAGCACATGTGCCCTTTGTTAAACAAAATATACTACTACAAAACAAATATTTATCATTCAATCAGTATGGCATATGGATTTGAAGACATTTTAACATGAAAATGGTTGCCGTACTCCATATAAGCACATCGAATCTCGTATGCACACCGATAGATCCACATTGACGAAGAATGGGAAGAGCAGCGCAGTCTCAATAGGCGATCAATATTCAGCTGCAAGAGGCTGCGCTTCTTTCAGCAATGAGACGATGCTGATCGAAAGTGATCTATTAAATAGCGATAACTACGTTAATAAGTGAACTGTATTGCCCCTAGGCCAGGTGACCATCATCAATGATGCTTTAAATAGGAATGGAGAGGAGTACAAGGTCTGCTGGCCAGTCCAGTGTGTGTTACGCAATGTCAACACTCTGAGATGAGGAATGCAGCGCGCGTCACTGAATGCAGCTCACAAGGGAATACCCAGCTCGATAAACCAGGGCTTTAATCAGCTGATTACTTGTCATAACAGAGCTCTGGGTCGTTAATTTATATAATGAGGAAGGTCACAATTACTAGGCCCTAAAATGCTTGTTTTTATTTAGTTAACAACGCCTGCTGTTGAAAACAGTGCAGTGAAACTGGGAGGGAGTGTCATTGCAATAATATGCGACACGACGTTGCCGTAAAAACAATGTGGTTAGTTGATATTTATACTGACATATTAAGAACAATACAACTTAGCCAAGTTTAAACATTTTGCTAGTTATATAAACACTAGCAGTCCATTCGACACTCATGAATGTCAAAGTAATTTTGCCAATATAAACCAACATCACCCTAAACCAAGTTTGTCAATCCTGCATGCTGGAACAAACAAAACTATGCTTACCTACCAAGCAGCAAAACATTAGTGACAACAGCTAATCGAGAACGTTTTAAGTGTGTATTCTGTCTGTTTCACACTATTAAACACCGCCAAAAGTAGTAGACCAAACCCAACTTAGAAATATTAGCCACATATTAGCGGAGCAGTTAGTGGAATGTCAGCCAACTTCCTACGACGACAAAATAATGGCACAACCGCAGCGAGACATCGGTAAGGTCCTGACAAGAACAGATAAACGGCTCGTTTGAGGGCGTAGTTGAACTCACCCGTCCACCAGACCAGGTTTGAGCGGACTCCAGAAGAAAACCTCAGCGTGCTAATGTGGCTAACTTAGCCCACACCAGCTATCCTGGGAGGAGCAGTTAGTGAGAATTCAGGAGAAATGTGTAAACAAAATCACTTCTTGTTTATTCCTTTAGACATTCGGCAGCTCGTATATTGGAGAAAAAGAGTCGGTGTATTTACAGTATCCAGGCCGTCCGAGCTGACAGTGTTGAGGGTGATGACTCACAGGGAATATAAACTAAATCAGCTGTGGCCAGTTTACAGCTAACGTTAACTCTCCACTCCCAGTCAGTCACTTCCAAAAAAATGGCGGCGGGTAGTTTTCACCTCCTTCTCTTCGTGGAAAACACGGGAGAAATTTTGTAGGTAACGTTAGCTCTCTAAACTACACCATGGGCGCTCTCCGTAACCACCCGAGATATGACAGCCCTTCAGTGTCGCCTCGGCCGTTAAAGTTCTTCATGCGTGGCGCGTCTGTCGTGTGGCCGGGCAGTGATTTTCATCTTTCTCTCCCTCCCTCTGTCTATCCACTCTCCTACTGCAATCCAAACAGCACAGCGGCCGTTAACGCAAGTGTAGCAGCGATGTTCGATTCGTGAACCAATTGTTCCTTTGAATCGGATCTTTTGGATGAATCAGTTGAATCGGTCTGAACGAATCGGACTGAATCGGTCCAAGCGGATTTTAAATCAGCTATCAATTGGTAATGAGACCTAATGTTGAAGCGAGAAGTAAACTACTTTAATAGCTGATTAGTGGAAATATTATGGTGCGGTCACATTAACAAAATTCCGCGGCCAAAAAAGGTCCATTGTCTATTGCCAATAATGTAGCGATACATAAGGCACTTTCAAACCAAGCATGTTTCTGCTGGTAAATATTGCGAAATCTGCATGAGGAAATCTTTCGCCCTCACGCGAAATTCCAGATTACCGGGATTCCAATTGAAAATGACAGTGTAATATGCGATAAATATTAACAATCCAGTGAAAAATACAACTAGATTGTGTCAGTTTTATCAACAGGCATAAAGTTTTAAATTTTTAACGTTTTAATTTAAAAAATATGTTTCTGAACATGCTAAAACATGCTAAAATGCATTAGCATTCACATAAAATTTAAAACAGTTCTAAATTACTGATTTACGATGCACGTCTATAGCAAACTGCACTGGTATATGTATGCGCCTGCTGGTGGCTTTATTGGGAATTTTTAGAGCATGAAACGCCGGAATGTCAGAGACGCATGATGCCATGATGAAAAAAAAAAAAAGATCGTTGAATCTCGCCCTCACGCGAAATTCCAGATTACGGGGATTCCAATTGAAAATGACAGTGTAATATGCGATAAATATTAACAATCCAGTGAAAAATACAACTAGATTGTGTGTCAGTTTTATCAACAGGCATAAAGTTTTAAATTTTTAACATTTTAATTTAAAAAATATGTTTCTGAACATGTTAAAACATGCTAAAATGCATTAGCATTCACATAAAATTTAAAACAGTTCTAAATTACTGATTTACGATGCACGTCTATAGCAAACTGCACTGGTATATGTATGCGCCTGCTGGTGGCTTTATTGGGAATTTTTAGAGCATGAAACGCCGGAATGTCAGAGACGCATGATGCCATGATGAAAAAAAAAAAAAGATCGTTGAATCAATATTTTGAACCGGTTCAAAAGAACCGACTCGTGGGAATGATTCGGACTTCACATCACTAATGTGACGCGTTCACAACCAACTGGGTGGGGACAAAACAAGTACCAACTTTTGGAGGTGAGCTGTCTTCTTCAGTAGTAACTGCACTGCATGAGTTATTACAGAATCGTCATTGTCATGGAATCTCAAAATAGATAGGCTTAGAAAATAAAAAAAGCTCTAAGCAATTAATCTATCCATGAAAAAACAGTGTATTCCCAAATCGTCCATGTTATAAATGTAATCAATGTGCTCCAAGCTATTAGACGTTGCTCTCTGTTTTTGCAGGAAATGTTTGGTCTTGTATAGAACAGAGTACTAGTTCAGTGTTTTTATCCTGGTGAGAGTGAGAGGCTGCAGTTGTAGTGTGCTGAGCTTCTTAGCTGATTAACATGTAACATTAGGCTTGGTTTCCACAAATAGCTCTAAGCCACACGCCCGTCACCAAATCCATATATTCCCACACTGGCCGGATAATAACCCGCTCAAAGAGCCAAACCCGAAAAAGCATTGCTTTCTTTTTCTTTCTGCTTCACTGTACAATATAATGTGGCATAACAAGTATCCATACCTATGTAAAACATGCCTGGGCTGTCTCATAAATGTGACATACAGGCAAAACTGGTTTTATGAACTTGAGATCTGTTGTGGTTGACACAGATGAGTCGGCACACATCCGTGAATATTTCTATGTTGCCTACTTTATTGTTGACAGGCTTTCATTTTTTCATTGTGTTAGCTACTTGCTAAAATAAGATTAAGTGAAGATAAAGTGAAAAATAAAGCTGCATATTCGCAAACAATTTCTCTCCTAAAAATGAAGGGGAATATGACTGTCTCTTTGCAGTTTTACTTTAACTTTACAGCAATTTGTGATTCATCCTGTAGATGGAGATATTGTGAAATCTTGCTTAGTTGTGAGAAGGGTTGTTTGTTGTTTATTTATTATATAAGTGCAAGATTTCTTGCCATAGCCCTATAACTTCAACAACTTATTTTTCTTGATTCCTTTTATATAGTATTTAATAATACAATAATATTGCACTTGAATGAAATAATTATATACAGTATTTTTTTTGTATGTGTATTGTATCTGTAAGGTGGTGTTTGACAGATTGTGTTCATTAAATTTCGGTGAGCACATAGAATAAACAAGCTCTTTTTTTAGACAGCTGTTGACAATGAATAGGTGGGTGATTGCAAACATCATATGCAGTAAAATGTGAACATTAGAGAAGTTTATGTGAATAATACTCAGGCCATTCAAGATGAGTTTGTTTTTTCATAGGAACAGATTTGGAGTAATGTAGCATTACATCACTTGCTCATCAATGGATCCTCTGCAATGAACGGGTGCCATCAGAGTCCAAACAGCTGATAAACACATCACAATAACCCACAAGTACTCCCCATGACTCCAGTCCATCAAATAACGTCTTGGGAAGTGAAAAGCTGCATGTTGCTGTGCATGTTCTGACAAAAATAAGAATTTTTTATCCATAATATTGCTTTCTTCTATTCATTTAAATACACCAAAGTATATTTGAGCGAGGTCCAAATTATTTGTATATATGGGTACATTGTAAGCTTTGCCATGCACATAATATATTTCTCCTCCTTATTCTAAAGCTGCTTCAGTTGAACTTGAAGTAAATTCATAACTCAGAGAGAATAGGTATATCTTTGGGAGATCATGACAGATTTCAGAGATCTAAATAGTATTGTTTTATTTTTGCATGCAGTTTACTTCATATATTTTATAATATCATCTATAGGCCGTAACATCTTAACATTGTGCCCATTTTGATTGCATTTAATTTTTTTTTAAATAAATGTATGTATAGATACATTATGTAAAGTATGTAGGCTGCTTATAAAGAGCCTAATGGAAACATTACGTCATTACAAGTACAAACATTACAAGGCATTCTTGCTGGTGGCAAATCTAGTATATTTATTTGATTATTGACAGAATCTGAAATATTTCTGAATTATTTTACATCTTAATTTAAATTGAATTGAGCAACACCTGATTGAATCACGAAGCACAATTTACCTGAAGGTCGCACTAAACTCAATTACAGGCAAATATTTTCCATAGGCATTGGTTGGAGATAACAAAAAAATATATAAAACAGAAAAAGTCTGGAACAGAAAGATCTGGAACTGTTTGAGATCTCCACATTCAAACTACAATATTGGGGAGGGGGTGTGTTACAAAGGTACATTTTTATGTGTTCACTTTTATGAAAAGAAAAAGCATGCAAGTATGATTTGTTTTCTGCTGCCATAAGACATCACAATGGAGAATGTCTATTGTTATTGATTCCAAATGTTTACAAACACCTCCACTGGCTATCAACTTTCTAAATAACAGCTGATCCATATTCTTTATCTCTGTCTACTGTGCGATTAATGGTTACTGAGATTGCAGATAGCAGTACATTAATTTCTATAGACTGCCTATAGCTATCATCTCTCATGTAACTGTCTAAACGGCTATAGAGGATGCTTATGTAGTCGTGGGATTAATTTAATAGGCTTAAAATATGTATTTTAAGCATATGTAGCCAATATATGTTTCACATAAGTTTTAACCTGTTTACATACGAAAATTATTTAACATCAAATCCACATTATCCACATTTGACTTCACTACAAATATGACTTACATTACAATACAGAACATTTCCTTTATTAGTCCTAGTACTATTAACTAATAATTCTGTATGTACACTGTGATATGTTCTAATTTGGTAACTGAATAGAATATTTATTCTGCAGAAAAGGTTATTTTGAATGTTTATTTTTATGTTCCTTCTAGATCACAGGTTGGTTTATAAAATGAACTTGCAGCTTTCGCAAAAATTTTGAAAAATGATGAGCATAAATGAATCACGTATATGCTGTGGTTTAGATGTACAGCACTGTAAGCAATGTCTGTTTCTAACAACTGCAGACTCTATGATTGTTTATGTGTTGTCTTAAATATATTTTCAACTCAAATCCAAGGTCACTAATGAAGTACATATGATTTATTTTTTATTAATTGATCTCCTATTAATGGCTATTGCATAGACTATTGAACACCTTATAATAGATTGCACAAAATAGAAGCTTTAAGCAGGTACTTAGCAGTATATTACATTCCATCCCTAATCTGGCAACCAGTGTAATCGACCATACAAGTGATAGCACGCGCTGTAGCAATAGCACAAAGATACAAATGAAACAAACTGTATTTTAACTTTTTCAGGTAGGCTAGCCTAAAACTAACAGTAGCTGCGAAATTGCATCATATGACCCCTTTAATGAACTTGGTCCAGTTTTGCAAAGCATAATACGTGCTTTTGGTGTGAATAAATGCATTATTACACAACTTATGTAACTCAAGAGTCCCATGTGTGGTTCTTTTATGCATAATGTCCAACATACAGTACCAGTCAAAAGTTTGGGAAGATAAAAAATATATCACCTGAATTACCTATAAAAAGCTGAATATATATTTAAATTGCTTATATAATTGTAATATATCCACATTCACTTTTTTCATGAATGGTTAGTGGGTGCATAGCTGTTACAGTAAGATTTTTTTGTCACTACATAATTCCCCATTTGTGTTATTTCACTTTAATGACTTCATTATTATTCTAAAATATGGAAAGTAATAATAATAATACTTTGACTGGTAGTGTGTATAATATATACTATTTCAGGTGTAACATTCCTTTTTAGTGCTCTTGATTGATAATTCTTTTGATAATCTTGATTGATAATCTTTTGCAGTATACAATAGTTGTAATTCTGCTGTAGAAGTGCACACTCATGCATACATATAGCCTCAACATCGGAAAACAAAGAGTAACTTGTTCTTGCCTCTTGTTTAACCAGGCAGGGAAAATGCATGTGAAAAAACCTCCTACATGTTTCTGAGGAAAGAACTGGCAGTGAGGTTGGCCAATACGATGAGGGAAGTCACCTTGTTACCCACCAATCTTCAGAGCCAGCCATCCGTCAAACTGGTCGAGTCCTGGTGAGGAAGTCAGGTGTGATGATGAGTGTGAGCTGTGAGTAAACTGTGACTGGGTTTGGTGTAAAGGGCTCAGAGTGATTGCTTTGAAGAAATGTGTGCATACAAAGAACATGTAGCAGAATGTAAATGTAATGAAGCATAAGTCCTACAATCTCTCATGTTTTTTCCCCCCCATTTGTATCACCTGATGGAGTTTAGGCACCTTGCCACTGTCACCTTTGTTCTGCTTAGTTGAGGTTCAAAAGACACTTAATATCAGTGTTGGGCAAGTTACTTCCAAAATGTAATACATTATATATTACTAGTTACTGTCTTTTGAAAGTAATTAGTTACATTACAATATTACTCTCTCTGAATTTGCCACTGTCACCTTTGTTCTGCTTAGTTGAGGTTCAAAAGGCACTTAATATTAAGTAATATTATCAATTTTACACTTTATAACTAAATTGAATTTCTTCATAATTTATGAATTTTGCAACATCAGCACTGTTTTTGAATTGAATTTATTCAACATTGAACTGACTCAAGCTAAGTAACGACAGTGCTGTCTTCATTTAATTAAAATTGTTTTGTTATTGATCGACTTCACAATTATTGAACTGATCTGAACCAACACTGAACTGATTTAAAATGATTAGTGACACTATTGTCTTGTGAGAGCTGCTTTACAGCAGAATTTGGATTTGCCTCATATTTGATGAAGTTTGCATCATTGATTGTCACTTTTAGTGCAGTGAAGCTACTTTTAAACAATCTATTGTACAAAGCACTATTTAAATAAAGGTGACTTGTCTTGATCATTCCATAATTGACAAATTGCTGTATGCAAAACTGTTGTGAAGTACTTAGCACCCAAAGCTAACAATAATAATAATAATAATTCAATGTAGTCAATTGCAGTGGTGGCCAAAATTATTAAAACATTAGTATTCTTACCAGCTATAAAAATGGTTTTAAGTCAGTTATTTCTGTCTTTTGCTGTAGTGTGTCAGTAGGAAATATCCAAACATTCATTTTGCCATTAATTGTAATGAGCCAGTGAGATTGTTGTTTGCACAAGGAGTCTGACAACAACCAGTGCTCCGCACAGAGATCTGATCTCATCATCATCCAGTCTGTCTGGAATGACATGAAGAAACAGAACTAACTGAGACAGACTAAATCCAGAAAAACTGTGGCAACGTCTCAGAGATGCTTCTAGAAACCTACCTGCAAAGCTACAGGACTGTTTTTAGGCACTTGTGTAAAAATGCTGTAAAATGAGGATGCTGTCAAAATAATGTCATAAATAGATTTTCTTTATCAATTAACTTCTATTAACTAAATTAAATCAACATTTGGTGTGACCATAGCGTGTCCCCTGGCCACAGCGAGTTGGCAAAAATTCCACTAAATTTACAAAAATGCCCCTGCACAAACAAATTAAACCTATGACGACTGTTGCTAACAAAATGAAAATGAATAGAAAGTGTCGATTGCAGCATTAAATTAAGATCTGCTCATGTTGCACCGTATTTCATTTTAGGCGTTTTTACAGTGTTGCGCATTATAACCAATCACACACGATTCTGTTGAGTTTAGGAATGCAATGGCCAATCAGAGGCATTCAGATGAGTCATCGCTGAAACTCATCAGTTTTGAGTGCCCTCTATTTATTTATTTTTTTATTGAATCACTCAAATTCAACACTTTACAGTAGCCAGGGGGTGAACACAAAGAAAAAGAGATACAAAATTACAGTGAAATAAAGAGAAAATAAAAAATAAATTACATAAAAACATGGAAATGTTTACATACATTAATACACTTAACAGCTTTCTTGTTTATCAAATTGTAAATTGATTTTAGGTATTGTTTAACTTCTGATTTCAAAATGAGAAACAATGGTTTATAATTGCCGTACTTGCATTTATGTATACTAAACTTTGCCAGCAAAAGTAATAAATTAATCAAATAATATTCCTTATGGAATGACATGTCGTAAGTGAAAAAAACAAATAAAACATTTTCAAAACAAAGTTGAAAGCTGGGCATGATATGATCTCTAACAAATGAGCAGAAATTTGACCAAAAATTGACTGAGTAAGGACAACTCCAAAATAAATGAAAAAACGTTTCTGTATGTAGACCACAAAATGTACATAGTGTATCAATATCACAGTTAAATCTGTTTACAAGGAAAATATACTGGGGTAACTATAATGCCCTCTATTCAATATTCCGTTTCAGATGGAAATACGTCACTACACTGAAATAAAGTCGGCAGCAACTTCCGGTTCACGCGGACTTTAAAACCATTTTTAGCTGGTGAAAATACTAGTGTTCTAATCATTTTGGCCACCTGTGTATCTAGATGTTTAGTGCATACTGTCAAAGTCCCTTTCTATATTGTTTGATACTGTGCAGAGTATACATACTGTAAACTGATGAAATAGTAAAAGTACGGCATTAATCAGAATGCTAATCCCAACATGCTGTGTTTAGATTTAAAAATTGATTCGCATTCGCCACCTAGTGGTTCTAAGAGGAATAACAGAATAGCCATAGTTAGCACGGAAGTTAAAGATTAACGTTTTGTATGTTATATAATACAAAACTTTAATATTTTGTAACTTTTTTTAATACATATCTTTCTGTGGTATCAGGTACAGCCAGAGCTTTGAAGAGCTGTTAGAGTACGAGACAAGAAGTCCGGAGGATCCCCGCACCCTTTATGAGTGAGTCTGCAACCTTTGCAAACACTGTCCTGTTTTTCAACAAATACAATTTTGCAAGGGAAAGTCTAAAATAATTTTCTTTTACTTTGCTTGATGGGATGAGCATTAAAGGAATAATTCACCCAAAAAATAAAATTTGCTTCCCCTCAGGCCCTCCAAGATGTAGATTAGTTTGTTTCCTCATCGGAACAGCCTTGTTAAGTGAAGAGCTGCATGTTTCTTGGACGGACTGAGGGTTAGTACATTTTCAGCCAATTTTCGTTTTTGGGTGAACTATTCCCTTATACATGGTAATTTGAACAGAAAATGCATGTTTGTTCTATTACTTTTACCCAAATGCTCTTTTACCCCAAAACAACTTATTATTGTGGGCTTCAGCTTCCTAGAGATCCTGATTAAGATTCAGAACAGGCACAATGACGTGGTGCCCACTATGGCCCAGGGTGTCATCGAATACAAAGAGAAGTTTGGTTTTGACCCCTTCATCAGCAGCAATGTGCAGTACTTTCTTGACCGCTTCTACACCAACCGCATTTCTTTCCGCATGCTCATCAACCAGCACAGTGGGTGACATCACATTCATGTTGGATAAGTGTTAAGGAATTAAATCTGTCTTTATATCGTTTAGAACTGGGGTCTGAGCAGCTCTCCATTCTGTTGCAGCTCTTCTGTTTGGTGACACTGCTTGTCTTGCGCAACCAAAACACATCGGAAGCATCGACCCAGCATGCAACGTTGCTGAGGTGGTGAGAGGTGAGATAAAGATACATGCACAGATACATAAAATATAAACATGGTTCTGAAGATTCTGATCTATTATCTCAGATGCATATGAGACAGCAAAGATGCACTGTGAGCAGTACTACATGACAGCTCCTGAACTGAAGATCGGGGAACTCAACTGTGAGACTTGTCCTTAATAACATATATCAAAATGATACATTCTTTTAATCTATCTGTGCCTTCCTATCTTGTTTCACTCTATCTGCTAGCCAAAGCTCCAAAGAAGCCTATACAGGTGGTCTATGTGCCCTCTCATCTTTTCCACATGCTGTTTGAGCTCTTCAAGGCAAGAAAAATAGACAGTTGGCTAATTTAAAAGGAGAAAGAAGACCGGGTAACACTTTACAATAAGGTTCAATTCGTTAGCATTAATTTATGCGTCAGATACAAACAATGAAGAAATTAAACAACAACAACAAACAACTTTTTTTTTTATAGTATTTAATAATCTAGGTTAAAGTTCATTTATAAATAAACAATTATTCCTAGTTAATTGTTGTTTAATTATTATATGTTAGAAGGAAACTTAAACTAAATTATTTATTAAAATATTTTGTACACAACTTTTTTCAAGTGTACTTTCATCAAAAGGAGGCCAGTATGAATATAATTAATAATCATCAGGATTGTTATAGTAAACTAAAACTAAAATGAACCATACTAAACCATAAAAAGTTGTTTAAAATAAATAAATGTTAACTGAAATAAAATATTAAAATAATAAAAACTTTATTTCAGCTAGTTATAAAGACATTTTTTTTATTTTATGCTAACTTTATGTACTAAAATAACTAACACTAAAACAGAAATAAAAATGAATTAAAACTGTATTGTCGCGAGGAGACGAGGAGTAAACTTCACCAGAAAGACTTTAATAATCAAAACAAACCAAAAGGAATACAGGGCAGGCACAACACAGGAACTGGGAGACATACTGAATGACGTAAGACCACTCAGGACGGAACGAGGAAACCAGGAACAGAACACTCTTTAAATTCACAACTGAATGAGGGGATAACGAGACACACCTGGAATCAATGAAACACAATGGGAACAGGAACAGGAAGAACCAAATATAGGCACAGAGAAACACGGAGAAAACTAGGGCTGTGTCCGAAATCGCCCCCTATACCCTCATTCACTATTCCCTACATTAGGTCACTAATTCAGTTCACTAGAAGGAGTGAATGAAAACGAGCAGTGAATTCGGACACTGAGCGCTTTTGCATAGTTTGTGCTTGTTTATTAATCATTTGAAACTAGCAAACTAGCAGCTCCAGTAGTAAGATTAAAGGATTTATCTTGAACTCTGTCACGGAAATGATGTATAAACCCTAATCAAACAATTTAATAATCAATTTACAATGAATTTATACCCGTGTTGTACATTATGCTGTACGCCATGGATGAGCGAGCGCTTTGTAAAAATGAACGGATTGATTAATCAGCTGCGGGCGCCATCTTCTGGCGAGATGCGCGAATTCATTCGGCGCGTGACTCTCACGGTGCATTATGGGCAATTTGGGCATTCTCTAGCCGTTGAGCGTGCACCAGTTGTACACTCGTTTTTGCAGTGCATTGTGGGATTGAATGAGTGCACTCGAGAACGTCCACTATGGTTTCGGACACCACTAAAAATGGCTGTTCCCTCAAATAGTGCCCTATTTAAGGGTATAGGGGGCGATTTCGGACACAGCCTAGGACATGGAGCACGTGGGGGAGGAAAACAAACACAAAACAGTCCATGGGCGTGACATATATAGACATTAAAAAACTAATGAAAATGACAAACACAAAAAATTGCTGTATTTTTAATTAAAATTAAAACAGAAAATATAAAAATAAAAACTAATTCAAATTATTAGTAAAAACTGTAATAGTAACTAAATGATACTAAAACACCGATAATCATTCTTAATACATAACATAACTTATGTTAATTTATTATTTAAATACAAACATTAGTATATGTAGAAATTACCGTCAACTTAGATAATAGTAAATGCTATAAAAGTATTTTTCATTGGTAGTTCATTGTATCTGAAGTTAAAAGGATAGTTCACCCAAAAATGGAAATGTATACAGGTTTGGAATGACATGAGGGTGAGTAAATGACGACAATATTTTCATTTTTGGGTGAACTATTCCTTTAACGAATTGAACCAAAAGTGTCACCAAAACTTTGTTCATATTTTTAGGTGATCTTTAAAGTGGAACGCAATGAACTGTTTCTCAAATGATGTTTTAGGTGGACTTCTGTCAGCTATTTTCTTCCTTTTACTAACTATACATCTTCTGCGTAAGTTACTATATTATGTGTACATGTGCAGAATTCCATGCGGGCAACAGTGGAGCTCTATGAAAACAGCAGTGAGGGGCTTCCTCCAGTGAAAGCAATGGTTACTCTGGGAAAAGAGGATCTTTCAATAAAGGTTCCACACAAGACTATTTAGCAAAAACATGAATACTTATGGCGATTTCAAAAGCTCATAGTAACACCTGCACTTTATTAATTTGATGTTTATGTGTATTCCTAGATTAGTGACAAAGGTGGCGGTGTCCCCTTACGAAAGATCGATCGTCTCTTCAATTACATGTATTCCACTGCTCCATCACCACGTCTGGATCCTTCACAAACTGCTGTCCCACTGGTAACTACCCATCAGACAGCACAAGTCTGTGTTTGTATACGTAGATTCATGCAGCCTGTTTATATTGTCCCTGCAGGCTGGTTTTGGCTACGGACTGCCAATCACTAGACTCTATGCACGCTACTTTCAGGGAGACTTGAGCCTGTACTCGATTGAAGGGTTTGGGACAGATGCAGTAATTCATCTTAAGGTATTTGCATTGCCGTTTTTATCTGTGAGACACTTAGATGAGAGTGAGTAATACCATTAGCTTCGACTAGAAATGGTTTTCTTCCCACTCTCTCCAGGCTCTTTCTAGTGAGTCTTTTGAGCGTCTTCCAGTCTTCAATAAGTCAGCATGGCGACATTATCAGACAGGTCCTGAGGCTGATGACTGGAGTAACCCGAGCAGCGACCCACGAGATGCATCCACATATAAAGCCAACAGATGACTTTACTGTACCTACTACAGTAATAGTGATGGAATTACAGCAGCCAAGCATTTACAGAACACTGCCAGATAAGGAAAATTTATTCTAGGCCTTTATAGGCCATTTCGAACTGTCTGAAAATAATAGTTTTACATTAGTGAGAGTGTGGAGCATGTTGGAAGAGTGTTACGTGGAGTAACATTAATACAGTAGCTTGTTAGTACTGTATGATGTACCATGTGGCATTTTTTAAATTTGCTTTTGTATGCTAAATTAATTTTTGTGGGAGGTTTGCCTATAACTTTTTAAGTTTTTGGGTCAGTAAGACTTTTATTGATTTTTATTGATTTTTTTTTAAAAAGGACACATTAAATTGATCAAAATGATCAGTAAAGACACCGATAATGTTAGAAAAGTTTTCTAATAAATGCTTTGCATGAAAATGCAGTCTTGGGCAGAAGAGACATCTTTCAAAAAAACCTTCGCAACCCCAAATTTTGAATTGACGTGTAAATTATTATGAAATTACATTTACTATAAAATACTTTTCAAGTATTTAGACAGATTAATGTAACAACAGCGCATGGTTTTTAGTTTCAGTTTCCACCCAGTGTATTTTTTCGGTCAGATATTTTCATTTCAGTGCATTTCTAAATTCTTCTGAAGAAACATAATGCAAAAGCACTGATAGCACTTTAAGGTGAGTTTTGGATCCAGTTTAAGCACAATGGTATTATGGATTAAAGCCCATTTGTAATAGAATGTGACTCATGACTGGAGTAATATTTCAATAACATTGTGTTGCATGTGTGTATTGAGAGCATGCCTTTCAATATAGGCATTTATAATGTAGTTTTTTTGTACTAGTTTCAAAATATTCCTATATTTGTATTGTACATGTCATTGTCAGTATCCATCCATCAGTATGGAAACTGTCAAGAAACATACTAGCATAATATTAAATATGTAATTAGTATTTTATGTTCCTTATGTGATTGTATCATGTTGTATTTCACAATATGCTTCTCAGCTCATGTTATATTTAACCTAATCAGTTTATTAAAACAGTCTAATACATTAGGTCAATGGTACACCCTTAATTTCAATCAAAATACATAGTGTTTAATAAAATACTCTCAAGTATGTTTATTTGCTCAAAACAATGACAATTACTATAACAATAACTATTAAGTTTTAATAATCTTTCTAATTCTATGAGCATAGTTCACATCACAGCTATAACAATAACGATAGAGAAAGCAGTGCACACTTATAATAAACAGAAAGTTGTCACACGTTGGTGTGAAATATAGTTAGCGATATTTTTCCTTTTTGGTGTGAACAGGCCTTTAAGTCGAAAGACAAGTTATGAAGTGTTCAGTTCTGTGTTTTGTGGGAAATAAAAATTTCTTCTATAGAATTATAAAGTCAGTTTGGACTTTGAGCAGCATGCATTTGTAGATCTGTATTATGCATAAAATACAGAAAATTAAACGTAAGGGTGTCTACATTTAAGGGCATCTACATTTCCCCTTCGTCACCCTCACTGCTGCTGACAGATGCTCCTTTAGGCGGTGGTGAACGGAAGCGTAGCAGGGGCCAGTGGGTGACGGGCGATGTTGAGCGTCCTCTGGTGGGACTGGAGCTTGGCGATGTTTTTGGGGACTGATAGGGAGACAGAGCCTGGAGAACACGACCGCTCCTCTCCTGGATCATGTGCTACAGAACATAAAAGAACATTCATTTGAATTGCAAAATAACACGTGTAATGCCTCAGTTTTGGTTAATGTCCTTCATTTACCCAGGCTTTATCCGGACCAAACAACTCTAGGAAGTTTCCGATGAACTCGCGAGATTTCTCTTCCCATTTGTAGATGAGGTCGTGGCTCTTCTCTTCGACACGGTGCACTAAATGTTTGGACTTCTCCTCCACCGTTCTCACCGTCTCCTTCATTCTGTCCACCTGCTCTTGTAGACGATACTTCTTCTCCTGTCAGTAAAAACAGCTAGTTCACCTAAAGATGTAAATGATGTCTTAATTTCCTCTTCCTCGTGTCATACCAGAGCCATTGTTTTTTTGTTTAGTTTTTTGGAATGTCCTGGCAACTCTTCTCTGTATCATACAACCAAATGGGAGCTGGGGATGTGCTCCAAACTACCATACACTCTTAAAAATAAAGGTTCTTTATTGGCATCTATGGTTCCATGAAGAATCTTTGACATCAATTGAAACTTTTCAGTGGACAAAAGGTGTTCTTTATTGTGTTATAGTATTCACTGAAAGGTTATTTTGGGAACCCGAAAATAAAGCAATAAGCCCCAAGAAGCCGTGGTTTACAGTGAATTTATAACCGCTAAGGGGCGTTGTTAGGCACGACTCCAGTGCCTACAACCCCCTTAGCTGTTATAAATTCACTGTAAACCACGGCTTCACAGGGCTTATTGCTTTTATAAAACGGTTATTCTATATACGTAGTAAGGTTTCACAAAATAAAACAGAGCAAATAAAGTGTAATGATATTAATAAAAACATTATTCTTCCACCAAACAATGTAGTTCCTCAGAAACGGTTGTGGTTCCAACAAAGTGGTTGCCGAGCAACACACAAATGTAAACAAAGGTGTATGTTTGTAGAGTAATTTACAACAGCTTCGAACTTGGCTCAACCAATCAGAATCAAGGACCGGAACTATCCATTTTATAATGGTTATTCTATAGTATCACTGCAAAAACCCTCTTTTGGAACCTTTATTTTTAAGAGTGTTACAGTAGTTAATGCCATTTTCATTATATTCCAAGCCTTTTGAAGCCATACAGTTTCTTTCTTACTTTGATGAAGCCAACGTTGAGTTCCCGTGCTGTGTATCCTCTCTGCAGGTTACGTCTGACGTATACGTCATAGTTTCGAACAATACGTGTGATGAGATCAGAGGTAGAGATCCCCTCCGTTCTTTGAGTAGCCACAAACATTCCTTACAAACAGAAATTCATATTTATAACTGAGTCTTTGACTCTGTTCTATAAATGTACACTTTGGATGCTATCAAAGTCTTTACCTGCTTCTTTGATATGTTTATAGACGTCTTCTGATCCAGCAGAGGTGTATGGGATATCATCATGTGCCACAAAGTCAATCTGAGGACAACAGGAAAATAAATAAACAGGTATGACACCATGACGCAGGGATCCCACACTTTTTGCAGTGATCCCTTTAGTCGTTTTTGGTTACTGGATGAGCTTCTCCATGGGCCTAACCCTCCTTTTTCTCTGCAAATTAATTTTGATATGAGTTGTTCTATTTTCTATAATGTCATTTGCAATTTTTGATTGGTTTGCAAGTTTATAGCAGTAAATACAAATAATAAAATAAAATATAATTTTTTTAAATTATGCTCAATGTGTAACAGGGAGGGTTATTATTTTTAACTAAAGCGAAAGCCATAAAACATCTTCATTACATTAAATGAAATAAGCATTTAATAGTAGAAATAAACTTAAAATATTTACTTTTTTCAGCTAGATGCCAAGGTAACATTTTTCATTTTTATTTAGTTTAATTTTAAGTACTAAAATGACAAAAATGCTCAACAAAATTACTTTAACTAAAATTAAAATTAAAATAGAAAATAAACATGACAAAAATACACACAAAATGAAAACAGAAAATCTAAAAATAAAAACTCTTAATATATCTATAAAAACTATAATATATCAGATACTAAAATAACACTGGTAACAGGGTTACAAATGTAGCCTAAATTAAGGTTTTTCCTCAGGAGTGGCTAGCTGCTATTTGAGACAAAATGTTGATTTGTAATTATTAAATTATTTAGTTGTCCTCTCATCATGCTGTACAAAGAGTCCAAATTATGTTATTTCTGGGATGTCAAAATTTTAAAGAATTTTAAATATAAAAGGGTTGCACACAAAATGGTTGTGGTTAAATAATAGATTTTATGTACTTAAAATTTGTATAAAATCAAATTAGAAGTTAATACTTTTATTCAGCAAGGATGCATTAAATTGATCAAAAGTGATGATAAAGACATTTATAATGTCACAAAAGATTTCTATTTCAGATAAATGCTGTTCTTCTGAACTTTCTATTCATCAAAGAAACCTGAAAAAATTCTACTCAGCGGTTTTCAACATAATAATAATAATAAGAAATGTTTCTGAGCAGCAAATCAGAATATTACTGATTTCTGAAGGATCATGTGACTGGAGTCACAAAAAAACATTAAAAATCTTACTGTCCAAAAACCTGACTGTGTATATGTGTGTGTGTATATATATATATATATTAGGGATGGGAAGATTCCCCGATTCGCACGGTACATCGGCATAAAAAGTTAACGATGCGATGCATCGGTTTAAAAAGTGTGCATCGGATACAAGTTGGCATTTGTATATAATTACTAGTGTATGCGCTATACTTTTATTATTTAGAAAGTGACCAATTATCTGTGACCAATATTTTACATGTAGATTGATTTCTCCTCTCTAAACTGTTTCTCAAGCGCGCTCTCTCATCACCGCTGCTGCTGCGTGAATATGACGCATCACAACTCAAGTGTATTTTTACCACGGAGACCCGAGGAGAAACTGGGATTAAAGTCCAAAACCTGACTTGAAATAACCTAACAAATCAATCGGGGCTAAAGCGGTTCCATTAACGACAAATTAAATTCACACAATCTCACTAATTTGTGCACGCTTATTCTTAAGCAGACCTTAATGTCGATCATGGATCAAATCGATCCACCAT